CCCCAAAACCCCAAAACCCCGAAGACAAACATCAAGTTTAAATATTTAAAGATATAACCAGTTATTAAGCTGATAAATTATTTTAGATGATAGCATATGTATCATATAAACAGCTCTTGTGGATTAGAGATTGATTAGAGACAAATCTATCATAACTTTTTCCTGTTAGCAAGTACTGAAGATAATAGTTATTATTTAGGAATAATTGGCTTGATTTTATTAGCGCTCTTGTTGAGTCTGCTACTCATCTTGTCTTTCTCATCTATTCCTAAGAGAGATGTGTCTTTTGTCTTTTCATAAGATTTCTTTCGTTCTAATATATTATTTTTCTCATGAAGCTATTTCTCAAATTACTGGCTTTGTTTTGTTGATCCAACTGAGATAACAAGTGAAGGTCTCTAAGATTCATCTTCTTCAACTACGACTTCCAAATTTGAAACCATTTTAATTAGCTTGTTTTGAAGCTATGTGGACTTTTGTTTATTCATCACATTCGGATCGAAATTCATGACTACTGTAGAATCAATACTAGTTGCATCTGTTGACAGAATAGGAGTAGATGGTGAAAGATTGTTGTTATTGATATTGATTTGGGTTGATTGCATATTCACCTACTCATTAAAAGATGAGGAATAGTCTGAGATAAGGTTGATGTCTTTAGTATCATAGCGATGAAGATGAGGTGAATGATTGTTTAAAGGAGAGTACTCACAGCCTACATTAAACATACTACCTTGATTCTTTAGTGTTAGTGAAGCTATTTCCTCGTTCACAGGCATTTAAACTGAGCTGTGATGCTAAATTGTAGATAGATTATCTGGGATGTCTAAATCGCTGAACTAAGACTTTAAAATCTTTCTACCTTTCAATGGGAATGTAGCTCCAGATGAAGGGAACATGTTTCTTGTTTCGTTATCGTAGACTATTTCACTCATGAGAGAAATATCGTTTCCATGTACTCTCGCAACAAATGGACAATCCTTTTTATTTGGATACTTAGTATATACTTGCATGAGTCTTTTGTGATGCTAGGCATGTTCATTTGAAGCCATCTTATTTGAGAGATATTTGTCTACGTGTGATAATTGACCATGACATAATGCTTAGCCCATAATATGATTGAGATCTTCAAAAATATTCAGAGCACTATCGAAGTTAGCCTTTGCAAGTCTGATAGTTTATTCATCACCTAGTTTTGTTATGAATTCAGCCTACTTGCTTCTGTAGACATAGCCAATTGAAAATTTAGTTAGGCCAATTCCATACTTGGAATTGGCAGCTTGGAATGATTTCTTAGACTTTTTGAAGGACTCTAAGCACTTTTCAACGTCATTTTTGTTGAGATATATTAAACCTAGGATTCTGTAAATGTTTGCTTCATAAAGTTAACTGCCCATAGCTTTCAAGGCAAGTTCAGTCATCATGTGAATAGCATTCTCATTTTCATGTAGTAGAAACAAATTCATAGCGTAGTATATGATAAGTTACTCAGCAGCATGCAACTCATCTATCTTAACCTTAGTTTTCTTTTAATTTAAATTTTATCTCAAAAGCAAGCTAGGGATATGATCATTCTTTCCAAGTGTTTGTCTTCTAAAGAAAGTCTTTCTTTCTACATCAGGGGACTTAATCATTTGAAGTAAATGAGGCTGGCCCACGTTTTAAGAGAACTTTTGAAATAGACCATTTGACACTCTTAATATGTCATTAAGCTACTTCTAAGTCTTCACATCCATTTCATTTTCTGTAGTAATAGTTTCAATCTATAGATAACTCTTTTTCTAGGTGGGACTAGCTTTAGATTCATGTTAACCTTCACTACTTAGCATATCTGAATCGGACTCATTACTTGCTTCTTCTACAAGAGGAGTAGGGCTTAAAAGAGATTGACTCTTTTGCTCATTTTCAGATGAAGAAAATAAGAAAGATTTTTACTGCTCTTATTTAGGGGTTTGGGAAATTATATTCTAAAAGGGCTTATACTCACTTTAATCCACGATATTAACCTCGTTGATTCGAGGTTTCCCTTTGCTTTGATATAAAGCAGATAGCTCATCATCTTCGTTTACTTCCTCAGTGGTTTCAATTACAGTTTGAGATTTTTTGAAATCAATAGCTTCCAATTAGAAAAGGGTAGATATTCTTCTTAGTCTTTGACTATTTTATTATTAAAAGTTTTAGTTATTCTCTTTGTATTATTAGATCTCCTCTGGTTTTTAATCGACCATTCTATAAATGCAAGCATATATATTAGTCTCATGCTTTAATAATTTCTCCATTACTTAATGATTGAGCTCAGATTATCGAACTTGCTTCTTATAAGATCGTGAGTTATTATCAAGAATCTTTTTACAGATATTAGCGTAATAATGACATAAATCATTCTAGAACATTACTTTATTGTCTTAAGATATTTTAGCATCTGCGTAATTACTCATAAAAGGTGGTAGACTGATGGTCCTTTTAGAATCATTCTTATGATCTTTTCTCTGAATTAGACTAAAATTAAGTAGGATTTCTATGTGTTTACTGTAATCTGGTCCCCATAGTTCAACTAGTTCATCCTCTTCAATACCACCTGGAAGCATGCCTATCAAAAAGAAGAAATTATAGGCTGAGGGATCTTCTCTCTATAGAACTGTGATTGATGCTTCGAGTGACACACGAAGAGATGCAACCGTTGAATCCTCTATACCTTCAACTTTCAGGGTATCGAACATCTACTTTGAATTCAATAAAAGATAAAGTTCTTTCAAGGACATTCTTATCAATAGAGGAGCGGCTAATGTAATTGCATGAGGATTTCCTCCAAATATCTTAAATAAATGGTGATCTTCTAATTTCTTAACCTTTTGATATCTTTGATAGCTCTTATCACTGACCAATAGGTAAGTTTCAGGCTCGTACTCTAGTAGCTCTTTTATTTCTGAATCCTTTAGCTCTCTTGATCTGGAAACAAACAAGTCCACAGTGTAAACAGGGCTTAATTCTTATAAGACTAAAATTTTTTCTGACACGTCTTGGAGTGTTCCAAGAGTCTTTCTGCTTGTCATTAAAATATGAAGGTTTGGAATCTGCATTAATAGATCATTAATAAAGATTCTAAAGGCTTGTTTATCATGTGTTAAGAGATCTTCAACATTGTCAAAAACCAAGAGAAGATTTTCTTCTTATTCTTTTAAGAAATGTAGAGAAATCTATAGCAACTGTTCAATGTTTGAGTTTTGAATTTCTTTTGCTTGGTCTGAGTCTAATTCAAAATTTTAGAGCACAAAATTGACTACCAATTTTTTCATAAAGAGTTCAAAGCTCAGATATCCTTTAAGTTGCATGAAGATGACTCCTTATTTGAATATTTTTCTTTCGATAATATAATGTACAGCATTTTTACTGATGGAAGTTTTACCAATACCTGGTAATCCAATCATTGTAACAAGTCTGTGATTATAGATATTGTGGATTATCTCATACATTTCTTTCTACCTGCCGATAAAATTGTCAACTTTGGCTGGGTAATCTTTGAATCTTGGCTTTGGATCTAGCCACTCTAGATCTCCTTACTTAAGTGTTCCAAATATTTTACATCTATGGCCATCACTGTCATTTGATTTCATCGATTTGTATGTTCCACTTTAATTAACTTTAGCTTTATCTCTATGATCTGGAGAGTGTGATTCTTCATTTATTAGAATGCTAAATTTATTTGATTCCCCTGTTCCATATTTCACTTGAACTTATTTCTGAGCCATATTGAATGCATCGCATATAGTCATTGTTTGACTGAAAACAGAGTGATAGAATGACTTTGAAAATGTAATAACTGCCAAATCTGCAATTTATTATCCAGATTTTACACAAATAACATGCTTTGCTCCAGCATTCAAAAAAATCTTGCCAGCGAACTCTGAATAACATGATGCTACAAACACGAATTCCAATTTAGTGTTGCTACTGTGAATAAATTCTGATAAAGTCTTCTCTGATACTAGCTCTCCCTCTCCATCTTCTGTTTCAAATAAAAGGTAATTACCATCAGCCTGTCTTTATTTGAATCTCCTTCCAAAGTTTTCTTTATTATTTTCTATTCCATGTCCGGAGAAGTGCAGAGCTAATGGGTTTTGTGCTAATATTAAACTTAAATTTTCAATAGTTGCTTGCTTTGCTCTTAATCTAATCAGCCTCTTTGTTTCCTTGATGCTATTTCTGATCTCTTTAAATTCCTTCACAAATTCAATTAGTGGAATGATGCTAAAATTATCTTGGCTTTCTCCTTTAGCACCTTGACCTCTCATTACTAAAGGTGAAGCAAATAGAAATGCCAAATGTAAAGGGGCATCAGCGATACTTCTATCTCCATTATTGCCTATGTAATACGAACCATATGATTCGAGTTGCTATTTAGCTTGATTCAATTATTCTATCAATTATTGCTTCTCAGAATTAACCTGTTGAAGCCTTGCAAACCTATCATATCTAAATTCCTTTGACTCTCCCATCGATAAAAATCTTCTAAATTTAGGATTTTCTGCTGATTAAATTGATTACGCCATCGAATCTCTGCTTAAAATGTCCATATTTATATTGTTAGCAGAATTTTTACTAGAAGTAAAATCCTAAGATTTCATAAGGTTATTATGTACATTCGCACCAAGCATTTCACTCTTAACTTTATGATGATTTTAAGCTGAGTGACTGTGCTGATACTATTCTTATACTGGTTCATTATGTTGAAGCTTTCTCTCCTCTTCTTACTTTTTCATTCTTTCTTCCTCTTATTTTTCCATTTGCTCTCTTTCCTCATCATCCATTAACTCTAACTCCAGTTCTAATGCCAATTTTCTTTGCAACTCTTCATAGAATCTATTTAGGTCTTCTTCTTAAGATTCCTATTTGACTTCTTAAGGTTTCTAAATTTCCTCATCCTTCTTTTTTTCTACCTTTTCTTCTTCTTATTATTTTTTCAATTACTCCATATCCCTCTTTATTTCAGCATCATCCACTTAAATTTCTTAATTAGTGAAGTTCAACATTCTTATTGGTTCCATTTTCAAAGAAGCATCATAATTAATCTATTAGGAAGCAGAGAATATCTGAATATCATGGTATTCCAAATTAATATCAATCAAACTCTGCCTACTTTCAAATCCTTTTTTAGATTCAGAGTTATCAATTGCAGGTGAGAAATAGTTATCAGTTCTAGGCATGGATTTAGTTTCTTATTGCTAATACACCTGTTTGTGATTAACAGGAGAGGAACTAGAGCAGAAGGTATCTTCGAGTTCCACTATAAATCTTTACCCATCAAATTCGAAACTATCATTATCTTTCTATAAACAGCATTTTTAAATTGGGAGATATGAAAGATACTAGATTAATTCTAAAGAGACGCAAAAGATTTTTCAAAGATGTAATCTTTACAGGTTCATTTACAATCTCTATTTGTTTTTCTTCCTACTTTTACCGATCTGTGTGGGATCTCTCAAAAAGTACGCTACTTCTCCCACTCTCAGTTTCAGAGACCAGATGATCATTTTGAGTATTTACCATTGCTAATAAGTTTTCTGTTAATTAATTACATTATGATTTCGGTGTTTCAAAATCATTCCCAATGACATGAAATAGATGATAGTAATTGCTGTTACCTTCTTGAATAGATACTCTATCAGGCTAAACAAGATTTAATTATGATGGTAGTGATAGTAATACATGAGTAAAGCTCTAATCATGAGCGAAAGAGTCATCTTAATTAAGATTAGGCTAAATAGCCTTCTAAGATTCAGTGCCTTTCATTTTATTTGAATATAAATAATATTTTTTATGTATTGAGAGCTGATTATAATAGAGTCTATGATATATCAGCTTAAGTTATTTATTAAATATACAGAATTAACTAACATTAATTTTAATATGCAAATTAAACACATTTAGCAAAATATATGATTATTATCTTCACTTGGAGATTGAATTCAGTTAAGTAAAATTATGGCTGATACTGCAGCGATAATTGAGACAGACATTTTAAGGAGAATAGCACTCGTTCTTATGATGGTGAATTTAGCTGGTTCAGTTCCGCTATTGGCAACTCCTACATAGTAACCACATAGTTCTTGATTAGCAGGAATAGAGTTGCTGTAAATCCAAGATTCATTTTTAAAGGTAACAATATTGTTATTTAGGTTGCATTATAGATCATTACCCTTATAAAACCTAAAGTATACGCCTTGAAGTTTATCTGAATATGATTTATAAAAGACATCTCCATAAGTATAAAAGCCACAACTGGCACCACCCTGAATAACGATCCAATCAACTTAATTGTAGTAGAGGAACATAGGCACAATTTCCATGTAGTCTCTTATAATTTTAGTTACTGAAAAATCATAGCAGTCTGGAGTTGCCAGAGCTGAATAGGAGAAAATAGCAATTAAAATTGCTTTCATTGATCTGTTCATATTTATTTATAATAATCTCGTATATTTAGCAAACTTAGTATTAATGGGGTTTTGGGGTTTTGGGGTTTTGGGG